TTTGATAAGGAGTGCTGATTAGTTTTTGGTAAAAACAGGATCAGTCATTCAGGAGTTACGAGGCAAAAAGTGCCAATAATGGTAATTCAATTTTTGAGAAAACGGAGCGCCCGATTTGAATGATTCAAAAAACATTTTATTTGTATTGAAGAGGAAATTTTTGGGAAGGCAGGTTTAGCAGTTCTGAAGACCCAAATTAAAAAGTGAAAATATGCCATTTGGCAGACAAAAATGATCATTAGATATATGCACATCAAATTATCACATATTTTATAGATATTTTAGTAATAGGAACATATTTTGCTTACATTTCTATTAGTTCCGTACTAATGTTCATGGGGCCGTTCAAGTATTACGTAAGCACTATAGGGGGGCGGGGGGGTTATTGATTTGCTTATTTTGGGTAAGAACTTTTGCTTACTTTTGATGACAAAGGGGAGGGGGGCGGGTAAATAATTGTAATAAATCTGCTTACGTAATACTTGAACGATCCCCATCCGTTATACTGCAAAGCGGCGCCCACGCGCTTCGATATTTCGTTTCTACGCAGCTAGCATGTCGCGATTACTTTGAAAAAAGGATTAAAATTTTCAAAATATTTCAAAGTATGAAAAAAACCTATTTTTCAGAAAGGTCTTTTCTTATCAAAATTTTTTTAAATCTCAAAGATCGATTTTTTTTTAAAGTTCTAAAAAAGTTTAATTTTTGGTAGGGGGAGTACCAGCAATTTGCCTTAAGGCACGATGCCATTCACCACTAGTTTTGAAGTTTATTCGGCAGTATTCGGCGGTTCCGATTACCCAAGGGGTTCGCGATTCGTGTTTTTCGGATGCTAATACAGGTAGGCCGATGTGATCCCACTTGAAGCGTTCTCGGTTGTAAGCTGCGGTGTCCGAGTGGTTAAGGAGATGGACTTGAAATCCATTGGGCCCTGCCCGCGCAGGTTCGAATCCTGTCCGCAGCGAATTTTTTTTTTATCATTAAATTTTTTTATTCGAACTTTGTTTTTTATATTTATATTTCTTTTTAAAGTATTGCAGTTTTTGGGTAATAAACTCACTAGTGAAGATTATTTGTGCTCTTAAACACATAGTTTTAAATGTTTATGAATTATATGAAGAAGTGGAGCATGGCATCGTACCTTAAGGCAAATTGCTGGAACTTCCCGTACTAAAATTAAATATTTGAAGAAAAAATCAGTAATCAATAAATATTGATCAATGATTAATAACAATTATTATAAACATTTTCAAATAGATAATTATAATCACTATATATTTTATTGTTCTTAAAGTATACAGTGATGACGACCTTATCGCTCAAAACACTTGAGAAAGTTTACATTAGCAAGAGATGCCGAATAAATCCATCTGAGGATATATTTCTTACAATCTGAATAACGCATTTGAAATATTTACATTTTCAAACTGTTTTGTAAATTTAAAATTCATATTTGAAGTATAACCCTTTGTATATTTTTGAAAATTTTGAAAAAAAAATTCTGAAAATTTTGAAATTTGCTTTAACCGGATAAGTAAACTTTGAAAATTAACAATCTTCTTACGGAACACAACAAAATTGTAACAAAATTTGTACTCATTTTTTAAATTTTTATCAAATATCTGATAATTTGATGTGCATATATCTAATGATCATTTTTGACCGCCAAATATCTTTTTTTTTAACTTGTTCCTCTGTGTTTCCGGAACCGCTAGAACTGCCTAACCAAAAATGTCATCAATTCTTCATTTCGTCAATACAAGTAACATGTTTTTTGAATCATTTAAATCGGGTACTCTGTTCTCTCAAAAATTGAATTACCGTTTTTGGCACTTTTTGCCCCTTGTTTTCAAATCGGCTGGACCTGTCTCCACCAAAAACTAATCAGCACGTCTTCACATCAATAGGAATCGAATGTTTTTCGAATCATTCAAATTGGTTAATTTGTGCTCCCGAAATCGTGGACAAAAAATTGTATCCAAACATACACACACACACACATACAACCATTTTTTCTGAGGTGTTTATTTTTTGCGATTACTATGTTTTTTGTTGATAATTGTTTTTGTTTGTTGCTTGTTTTTTTACTGAAAATGCGTAAAAAATTTTGTTTTTCCGAAAATTGTAAGAGTATTTATAATAAATGAAAAAAATGTTAAATCATTGTGAACTTTTTCTTTGGATATTTATTAGAATATGAAAATAATGGATATATGCATTATCTATCTATACTATAGAAGTATAGATATAATCTATGCTTTGCTCAGTTTTTGCTTAGATTTTGATTAAATTGAGCTTTGTCTATATTTGATTACATGAAAATGAAATGATCTAAAATTTTGTTGCAAAACCATTTGCATAATTGAAATTGTCGGTGAAATTATATATGTACAAATAAACTCGGTTATTAGAAATTATTGAACATACTCAAAAAAGCACGATAAGTGATGGGCATTAATTTTTCAATAATATCTCAATATCTTATAAATATGTAACATTCAACAATATTTTCTAATTTTCAGTTTACGCCCAGGATGGTCAATTCCAGTACGGCCTTTCTCAACGAAATTATGGTTAGGTTTTGTCGTTTCGATAGCTATATCAATTGCAGCATCATATATTTTAGATAAAATAAAACATGTTCCAAATACAAATATCGAAAACGAAACTTTGTTCATTGTAAGATACATTTTGTTACAATCCCCGCCTGATGCTGATAACTTAAAATATAATAGGTGAGTATTATGTTTATTTATGATTTAAGGAATTAATTACCTATAACATAATTATAAATCTTGCTTTAATTCGCAGGTATATATTATCAGGAATTTTACTATTAAGTTTAATGTTGTCTAATGTGTATAGTAGCGGATTATCAAGTATTATGACGGTGCCTGTGTAAGTTTAATTATTATCACGTACATATGGGACATATAGTTTATAATAAGTTTATTTTTTTAATTATAGATATTATCCGCCGATTGATTCCGTAAGAGATTTATCATCTAAAAAGATGGAATGGGGTGCTAATTCTGATGCCTGGCTCTATTCTTTGTTTGCTGCAGAAGAGGTAATTTTTATAACACATCTCACAAATTATAAAATAATTCAGAATTGTCATTGTTATACTTTTATATACTTTCTATCGCAATCAAAGTTAAAGATTCTATGACAATAATACTCTAATTTATTTCACATTTGGCTTGGGTCATGCTAAAATAAATGAGTTTTATGTTTTAATAACAAATTTACATTAATTTTGCGTAATCGATTTAATATCTGGTTTGTTTGGCAGGCACCAAAATTAACTTTGAATTTACTGAACAAATCTGTGACTAAGAGTCCCATGTCCCATCCTTTTGACCCTTGTTAGTCAGATATCAGAAACAAGTATCTTAAACTTTTGTTTTATATTATAAGTAGTTTTTGACCTTTTCAGCCTGATCTGGTTTATTTAAGAAACATATTTCAAACTTTATCTGATGAGGAACTGGTTATGAGACAACGTTCCAGAGACTTTGCATTCAGCATTGAAAGACTACCATCAGGTTGAAATTAATGTTTTTTTAATTCTTCAACATGTTTCAAAAAATAGTTTAACATATTTTTTATTATAGGACATTTTGCAATAGGAGATTATGTTAAAGAAGAATATATAGATCGTCTACGACTAATGAAGGAAGATATCTATTGGGAGCAATGTGTTGCTATGATGCCCAAAAGTTCACCTTTTTTGGATTCTTATAACATGCATATTTTGAGAACTTTAGAAACTGGTCTGCCAGCAGTTTGGGAAACTCAGGTAATTGTTAAAAAAATAATAAATTGTTCATTTTATTTGCTTATCAATAATAAAAATGCTTGACATTTATTAGAAATGCGTATTCGAAAAAGAGTTGATATATAATAGGTTGATAAAAGCTAGAAAAAATGCGTTATATAACCACAATGTGATATGTGGACGCCTTTTAGCTATGTTACATAAAAATTTATATATCTGAAATTAATTGAATTTTTATTCAAAAGGAATCAAATCCAATAAGAATCTAGCAAATCAAGTTAATAACCTGTATATATAAAATAATGCAATCACAAAAAAACCCTTTTTTGAGATTAGACACAGTAAAATAAAATTGATACTATTCAATTAAATTAATACTACCAATCACCTACGTGTGATGATCTAAAACTATGATCCATAATGAGGCATCGCCTATCCTCGTTTATTTTTTAACACTTTTTCTATTAAATTCCAATTTACATTAATAATGAAACTTTACCTTTGAGTTAACTTTTCGTATTTCCACAGGTGTCTATGAAATACCTAAATAATAAAATTCAATTAGGAGTCCTTTTATCAAATAAATTACATGAACAAACTGAACCAGTAAATTTGAGGCCTGATCATGTATTGGGCGTCTTTGCTGCTTGGAGTTTCGGCATGCTCTTAGCTACTGCCGTGTTTATAATTGAAATTTTAACAAAACATTATGAAAATACAAAAATGAAAAATAATCGTCAAAGTATAACTGAAGAACCAACACCAGGTTTCAGTGGTGCACCTTATTGAAAATTAACATATTGTGCAAATATTTGTTTATAATGACTAAGAGAAGCAAACAATTGATCTGAGAGTAAATCACATGAACCAAGTAGTGTGATAGTTTATTTATAGTATGGAATATTTATTTCATTGTGAAAATGAAATGATAAATAGCACACAATACTCATTAGACTTGAATAATATTATTAAAATTTTATAACAAATATTAATAAAACATTGAAAAATATTTTTTTCTTTATTCTATAAAAATGTTAACTTATGCACCAATAAAACGAGAACATTGAATCATTCAATCCTAAGGAAAAATATAAATATTTAAAAAAAATTGGCTCAATTCAACGTAATATTGGCACATAAAAATATTTAATGAATATAAAGATATACAGTGGTACCCCGCCTTACGAGCTTAATTCGTTCCTTGTCGAATATGTTCGTATCTCGAAACAATTTTTTCCATATAAATACATTGAAATGCTATTAATTCGTCCTAGCACAGTATTTTATTAATAATAAAAATAAATGATGATAAGACAAATACATATTCTGCAAAAACATAGCAAATTACTAATTAAAAAATGACTAAATTATAATTATACTAGTTTTTAACTTCCCGTAGGGTAAGTTATAGTAATCGCAAAAAAATCGAAAATGAAAATTTTTATATATCTTTACGTTTCAAAGGTTTCTGAATATTTTGGCATACATTAGAAAAAATTGATGTATGTGTGTGTGTAAGTGTGTAAGTGTGTGTGTGACGATTTCGAGAACACCGATCAACCGATTTGAATAATTCAAAATACATTCGATTCGTATTGATATGAGACGTGCTGATTAGTCTTTGGCGAAGGCAGGTCTAACCGTTCCGAAGACACAGGGCAAATAGTGCCAAAAACGGTAACTCAGTTTTAAGAGAACGGAGCCTATTTTAATAATTCAAAAAACATTTTACTTGTATTGACAAGATGAAGGACTGATTACATTTTTGAGAAGGCAGGTCAAGCGGTTATGGACTCTCAATAAAAATAAGTTAAAAAAATGTTATTTGGCGGTCAAAAATGTTTATTGAACATATGTACATCAAATTATCAGATATTTTATAGAGATTTTAATAATGTGTATACTTCTCGGGTAATTTTGTTGGGTTCCGTACCAAGATTTTTTATCACAGTACAGGAAGTTCCAGCAATTCCCTTAAGGCACGATGCCATGCATTTCAGTTTAAATACTCGTATTTAGATTTAGATTTTGAGCATTTAGAAATTTTAACGAACGATTTGAATTCGAAAATAATTTGTAACAAGATATATTGATCTATTAATATATTTATTCAAGTATAATCATATTACTTATAATATAAATTTTTAACTCGAAATTACGTGCCTCATAATGGTTCATTATATTCTATCATTTGTTTTCTTAGCAATTTCAAGTAATTGAAATACATGAAACTGTGTACAAACATAATAAAGAAATTACTCGATTTATTAATAAGCTCTGCGGTTTAGTTTCATTAATAATATATTCAGAGAGACATTCAATTTACGATCGAGTTGAAGATAAAAAAAGATCATTAGTAAGAATTGAACTTCTTAGTAAGAAATTACTCGCATAATCTTTTGATCGCAATGCTAGCAAATTTCAAAACATTTGAATCTTTTCAACTTATGCAAAATATAGGTAAATAATTATATGTATTTTTTTATTTAAATTTATAAATGAAAATATTAAAAAAAACTGGTTCATAATCTTACGGTTCATGGAATTTTAGGATGTGGGTATATTTTTATGTAGAAAGGGTTGAATGTACGAATGTACGAATGTGCTTAACGAACTTCATAATATTAATTTTTTAATTAATTGATTTTTACCTTCAAGATGCTGAGGAATTTGTTTGTGATATTTTTTCTTATTTCCAGCTCTTTCATATTTACAAAATTTATATTGTATAGCTATATTTGAAACAAGCGGTTACAATGTAAGTTTATTTAATAATATTTATTGGGAGAGCCCCATAATAATATATAATTGTAACAATGACCAAGCCTTGGAAACCAATATTTTAGATTCATTGAACGCTGGTTGTGAAGTAAGTCGAACAAAATCTTATAATTATTTTATTTTATATGTTTATAATTTTTTTGCATTTTCAAGGCATATGTGATAAATTTGAATAATACGGAGCGCACTGAAATATTTTTAGATTCTTACAAGAGAGCAATTTCTAAAGCTGATCGTAGAATATGTGACAAAAAAATGATTATAATCGAACAAGATATGATTTTGGAGAATTTCTATGGAAATCATATTCTGGAACATACATTATTTCAAGGTAAAATTTAAAATACGAGTACTTATCCAACTTTTGGATTTATGTGTATCTTTTTGTTGATTTGAGCTTTTTGGTGGTTATTTCTGATTTATTATCAGTAGAATTCCAACGATGACTATCCACACATATTACTTATATTTTTTTTAAATTATTTTGCAATAGTAATACAATAGTAAATAGTACAATTTGTATTGAATTTGTCTTTACTCATCATATAATTTTATTAGCAAAAATATTTGTATAAATCAAAATAAGATTACAAAAGTGGCGATGTAAAACTCAATATTCTCGATTATTACTTTTTTGAAAATTTATAAATTTTTAATACGTTTTCCAGATTTTCCGAATATTCTCTTGATATCAAAATCGCTTCAAGAATCATATGAACTATCGACAACAAAATATGTAGGCATTTATAACCAAACTGAAAGAATCCATTTGAATACATGGTTCGGAAATGAAACTTTCCTACTAGATAATGATTTATTTCCAGATAAAATAACCAACATGCAAGGTTCTTAAATCTTTCATTATTACGCTACCAAAGATAAATTAAATTAGTTCTTGCAATTAATAATTGTATTTAATAAAGGAAGAAGTTTAAGAACAGTTGCTTTCAATTATAAACCATATGCAATTTGGAGAAGAGTAGAGTCCGGCGGTAATGCAGCCTACTGGGATGAAGGACCAGAAAGTTTTGGCACAGTGCATATTGATGGTACCGAATTAAGGGCTTGCTTGGAATACTGCGAAATATATAATTGTACCGTCAGTTTAATCGCAGGTAAATATTCAAGTTAGAACCCAATTAGAAGTAAAAGAAATTATATATAAAATCTAGTTAGAATCAAGCAATAAACTAGTTAGAATCCAACGAGAATCCGAAGGTTTTTCGGTCAGAAGCCAGTTATTAGAATTCATTTGGAACCAGAAGTTTTTACAAATCAAGATGGATTCAAGTTAGAAAGTTTGCTTCATTTATATTTATTATATTTCGTTTACTAAACCTTCTATTGTATTCTATCGACTTTACATATTTCTATTAACAGACATTATTTTTGAGTATACTATCTTGGCTCTCGACTCTCATATTTAAGTAAAACTAGTGAGGTGCATGGTATCGCGCCTTAAGGCAAATTGTTGGAACTTCCCGTACCGTAATTAAAAATCTTAGTACAGAACCCCAAAAAATTACACAAAATGTGTACATATTATTAAAATCTCCATAAAATATCTGATAATTTGATATACATATGTCTAATAAACATTTTTGATCGCCGAATGAAATTTTTTTAACTTATTTTTATTGAGAATCCATAACTGCTGGACCTGCCTTCCCAAAAATTTAATCAAGTAAAATGTTTTTTGAATTATTCAAATCGGACGCTCCGTTCTCTTAAAAACTGAGTTACCGTTTTTGGCATTTTTTGCCCCGAATCTTCGGAACGGCTAGACCTACCTTCGCCAAAAACTAATCAGCACGTCTCCTTATCAATACGAATCGTTTTTTTCAATTATTCAAATCGGTTGATCGGTGTTCTCGAAATCGTCGACGAAAATTTGTATCCGCACACACACACACACACATAGATCCATTTTTTCTAAGGTATGCCAAAATATTCAGGAACCTTTGAAACGTAAAGATAAATGAAAAATTTCATTTTCGATCTTTTTGCGATTACTATAACTTACATTTACTTATATTTTTCCTAAAGACTATTAGTTTGCGATAATAATATATTTTCCATATTATTGAAGTTGCCATTATTATAATTTCTGAAAATCTATTTCATGATAGTGGATGAAGAAGAATGGGGCGAGATATACGACAATGGCACAGGCACAGGAATTTTAGGAACTTTGGCCGAAGGCAGGGCAGACATTGGTGTATCTGCTCTTTATACCTGGTATCATGAATATGGATTTTTAGACTTATCATTGCCTATGGTTCGTACTGGTATTACAGTTATAGCTCCAGCTCCGAGGTAATTTATTAATAATATTTTTAAATTAAATTTGAATTGAAGTTCAGATTATTTTAATGGGTCTAAAATTATCTTGCAAACTTTGCTTGAGAGAAATGTCTGAAAACATACCATCGCCACAACTTCGTACTTAATTTTTATCGACGATGTGCTTTTGGGCAAAGATGGCAAGAAAGTTCTGAAATATCATAAATATTTAATGAATTATACATTTCCTAGGTTACAACCAGGCTGGTTAACTCCAGTGAGACCGTTTTCCCTAAAGATGTGGCTGGGTGTTCTTATATCACTTACTATATCAATTCTCATGTCATACATTGTGGATAAAATAAATCGTGTTCCAAATGCTAATATTGAGAACGAAACATTTGTTGTGATTAGATATTTATTGCTTCAACCCCCACATGATGCAAACAGCGTAAGATACAACAGGTACAAAATAAAATGTATTTTAACTTATTTTGGAAACTTACTGTAATATTTTCAAAATTATGGTCTTCATTAATTATATGGTTCACTTTTTATATCAGATACATAACAGCAGCAGTGTTGTTGTTGTGTCTCATGTTGTCAAATGCTTATGGAGGAAGATTATCTGCCGTCATGACTATACCTGTGTAAATTTTATATCATAACTTCAATTTCTTAATTTATACATTGATAACAATTGTATTAAATATGAATTTTTAGATACGGCCCGCCTATAGATTCTGTCCAAGATTTATCCTCCAGAAATATGGAATGGGGTGCTACATCTGATGCGTGGATTTTTTCAATACTATCAGCTGATGAGGTGATATAATCGACTATAGTATGCATTTTCCTTATTTAAAAAACAGTTTTCATAATATTACCGGTACCGGCCCTAATTATTTCTTAATTTCATAATTCAAGTGAATTAATTTGTCAAATCCTGTCAAACTAACTAAATATTTCATATCCAATGCCAAACAAAATGTTTGACGTGAAATGCCAAACAAAATGTTTGAAATGAAACTTCTAAATAATTTTTTGAATAAGTAAATTTTTTTTTTTTTGTGAAATAATTTAGTAAAGTAAGGCAAAATACATACATTAGCTTAAAAAATTGATATGTCAACCTGAATTACATAATAATATAGATATTACATTTTTCTTATTCATAATCATGAATTTATTATATTCTAATGATGTCTAGGCTCATAAGTTAATTAAAATTTTTGGCAGATCATATCTCATTTGTTTTCAATGCCAAACAATGACATGTGCTTTTTCGCAATTTTTTCCCATTTATTTCTACAATACTAAAAAATTCCCTTGACAAACTTCAGAAAGATTTATCAAAATCCGAATAATCGTTTAGGAGGAGTAGCTCGACTTACACTCGTACAGAAGAATTTTCTTTATAAGATATATATATAATATTGTTTTTGATCTTTTTCTGTAGCCTGAACTAATTCACATCGTTAGCATGTTTAACGATCTTCCAGAAAAAAAACTGGAAGAAAAATTGGGTTCTCCAAATTTTGCTTTCAGTGTGGAAAGACTACCCGCAGGTGATGCAAAATATTTATGTGATCATTGCCCCAAAACCTTTTAATTTTTCTTTTTTTTTTAAACAGGTCATTTTGCAGTAGGTGAATACGTTAAAGAAGAATATATAGACGGTTTGAGGTTGATGAAAGAAGATATTTATTGGGAACAATATGTGGCTATGATGCCTAAAAGTTCGCCAATATTAGATTCTTATAACATGCATATTTTGAGAACGTTGGAAACTGGACTACCTGCCGTTTGGGAATCTCAGGTATAATATACAAATACTTATCTGAATAAAAAGAAGTACATAGTTTATAGCCGCTTTTAGGGTTTATGGAATGTAACTGCGGCTAGATCAGCTTCTTGTAGGGACTGGTAAACCAAAAATGTTAAAGTTTTATTTTTTATGATGTTCTGAATTTAATATACTCAAAGTATAAATTTATTTAGAGAATGTAGGAGTGCGTGCAGCATGTACTATACTATATTATAATTTTCAGGTTGCAATGAAATATTTAAATAATAAAGTACAACTTGGAGTTTCGCTATCAAATAAGGTACGTGAGCAAACAGGCCCAATTAATTTAAGACCTGATCACGTTTTAGGTGTTTTTGCTGCTTGGATGGTTGGTATGTTGATCGCAACTTTTGTTTTTTTTATTGAGGTTTTAACAAAACGTTTAAAACATAATAAGGTACACGTAATTCAAAGTTATGAATCTGCCATTAGTCTGGCTATTCCTGGTTGTAGTAATAATATTAATTGATGCAGTTATATTTGTTCAATGTAGTATTGAATGTTGTTACGTTGAAGTTGTAAATGTCAAGTTATAATCTTGCCATGAAATTATATTTTTGTGAACAAAATAAACATGTTAATAATGAACAGTGTAATTTGGAATATCAAAAAATGTAGCATAATGGCCAATGCTAATGAAAGGCTTACTTGTTACATACTTTTTATATTTAGTATAAGCAACAAATTATATTAAATCTTTAATAAATTATAATATAAATTTTACACATCGAAAAAAAACTTATAATTAAGCGTTGATTCGTTATGGTTGTACAGATAAATTTTTTTTGGCGATTTATACAATTAGGATTAGATTTCATTCATTCAGTATTACGTTTTATTTAAAGATGTTAATTATGGTATATATATAAAAACTTTTAAATTAATATAATTTTGTAATTTTGGGATCATCTACTGGTACGGGTACTTCAACTGCTGCATCTGCCGATTGAGTTTTAACTTCTTCTCCGTGGTTTCTATTCCAATTTGGATGCAATTTCATATCTTTTACACCTTCTGAGGTCAATTTGGTGCTTGAACTTACAACTTTGTCTGTTGTTTCTTCGTGGGCATGGGCTTCTTCTGATAATGGTAATAAAATTAATTAAAAAAATACAAACAAATATGAAATTAAATTTCTGGTACGCGGAGCAGTTTTGAAAAAGTTAACAACCAAAAAGTTTTAACCTAGATGATTTGGTAGACGCACCATAGGTCAGTGTTCCTTTGTATTTAATTATGTTTTTTAACATAAATAAACTGTGAATAAATTTACCTGTGGTTGAAACCGATGTTGCCATGCTTGCCACTGGAGACGAGTCAGATTTTTCAGCGGTTTTGACTGAATTTTCCGTTGACACGACTACTGGTGATTGTTTTTCTGATACTGAATCAACTTTTTCCTCATTTGCATTTGTCACCTTTGGGCGCACATTCTCAACTTCAGTAAATTCTGTGGCTTGCGGCACATATCCCGATGTGGCGAAGTTTACGGCCAGCAAAACTAATACCTAATAGACATAAAATAATGAATAATAATAGCAATATATTTTTAAAGTAGTAAAGTAATTATAAAAAATATATATTTAACATTTATGAAATTTTTGTGATAAACTTTAAGAAGAATTAGAACTCCACATTCGTACATCTGGTGTTATTATGGAGAACCGGGTAATATGCTTCTGAACATTTTTATTAAAAATTTAGTAGTTGATACTATTCTATACACTTCTAAATATTTCAAGATATTTGACACTGCCTTGTTGAAATTTGATAAATAAAAGTAAAAATAAAAGTACTTAAAATTAAAAATTAAAAGAAAAAATTATTAAATATAACGTTATAAGTTATATTAAATAACGTATTATAATTGAGACACAACACGTGGTTTCGAAACAAATATCAGGCATTATATAATGCCTTTCATATAATGAACTTGGCACTTAAAATTTTGTGCATTACAGTTAAATCACTTGGATAATTTATTTGTTCAAATTAATTAATTTTTAAATTAATTAATTTTACACTCACCAAACTTTGTAAATACATATCGAGCGTTTTAAATGTTATCCGGACAGAAAGAATGAAAACTAATCGTTTTATAAGTTTTTAGTGATCTGAAGACTTTCGTCCATTACCACTTATATATGTACAAATAGTCCATTTAAAATTACGTTCAACGGCTAATGAGTCAGTCGGTCATGTGACTGATAATTACTAAATATACGAAGACAAGAAGATTTTGCGATGTTATTTCTTTTGTTTACGTTAAATTAAAGATATTGATAATGGTTACGTTATATCTATACCGATATTATATATATATATATATATATATATATATATACATGTAATATATATATATATATATAGATATATATATACATATAATATATATATATATATATATATATATATATATATATATATGAGCAAGTTCTTATAGAGCGATATATCAAAGAAAAAACAAAGATTTATAAATTAAGCTTTAATTCTAAACGTTTCGACATTTAATGTAATGTCATCATCAGTGGATATTACCTTTGGTACTTTACATCTAAAGATGTGTACACAGCACAGAAATTGGCACTAACATTTATACAACTAACTTGTCAACACAATGAGTTTTTATCCTTTTTATATATAAAATGTAAGAATAATGATAATTTTATTTGACAAAAATGTGAAAAGTTAAGTAATTTCTGCAGCGACTTGTACGTAATACAGTGCCCGAGGCTCATCTCTTGAGATTTTCAACACCTTGACAAAATTACTCAATTTTCAATGTTAATCTTCAGTTTTACAATGACTTTTCAAATTTTATCGATGACACCGTTTTCAACAAAATATCGATGGAAGGCAAAACTTGCATTTACATTTGTATACTTTTTCACAATTTTGCGTCAAACGCTCCAAAATCGCTTAAAATGTCAGGGAAACACATGATTAGGGAATTGGATCTTATAATGCGATTGTAATCATCGTTATCTCATGGTCATTAAATTTGGGAGGAGCCTTGATTAGATCTGCAAGGCAATCGGCTACGCCGTTTCTTTGGAATTAGCAAAAAAATGTAACAAATTTCACAAAAAAATTTAAGCCGATTTTGATAATCAATTCTACTTGGATTCAAACTGCATTATAACTTGATTCGAAATTGAGTTTATGTAGATTCTAACTAGATTCTAACTCAATTTCAACTTGATCTTGGCTTGGTCCTATTTTTATTCCTATTTAATTACATGATTACAATCTACTATAATCAAAACAACTTACTAACTATAATCTTACTGAAATGTTATTAAAATTTTCTCTCTTTAAGTGAATTCTATGTAGATTTCAACTATTATATTACTGCTTGACTGACTATAATCTTACTGAAATTTTACTAAAATTTTCTAACTTTAAGTGAATTCTATGTAGATTCCAACTATTATATTGCGACTTGATTTTTAACTTGATCCTGGCTTGATTACAACTAAAATCTTACTTCTATATTACTGAAATATTACTAAAATCTTTCTAAAATTTTACTAGAATTTTGCTAAAATTAATAAATTTGTTGACGATAAAAGTTGATACTTTGTTCAGTAAGCTCAAAAGCACATAAAGTAGAATAATTGTCTAGTTAATTAAATTTTATAACGAGTTTTAAGTTTTTTATATTTACCAAACATATTTTTTATTCGAGAAATTTAATATGAGATAATAAATATCTGTAAACGATGATTATTTTTCAGAATTAGACTTGTTTCATAGAAAATATTGGAATTTATTTGCTCAAACTAATTTGTTCAAATTAGCACCATTAAAAGTAATAAGCAAATCATATGAGCTTGAATAATATGGTACTCATAAACATTATATGCACATATTCGTGTATGAAGTGCGTATATTTGTACAAAGCCTATATATATATATATATATATAATATATATATATATATATTATATATATATATATATATTGCGTATTTTGGACATTTGCCAATCTCTGAAAATTTATTAAAAATTATAATTACATATTAATATTATAAATAATATTTTTAAATAATCTTTATTGACTGGATTTGTTCACATAGTCTACAAACTTACAAGTTAACAATAAATGATATTTAGGTTTCATATCAGTCTTACCAATAAATATTTTTTAAGTGCTCATCAACATAAAGATCATATGTATCAGCTCTTTATGCAAAAATATATTAATGTTTAAAACTAATTGATTTTAAAAATAGTAGAGTAATAAAGAAAATCAGTGGTAATCAGAAGGCTAATAATCAATTAAAAATAATTCTTCTTCAAATATATTATAAAATATTAAAATAATAAATTATTAGAATCGATCATAAAATAGACATTAATGCAATCTTTGATTAGCTCATTTTTTTAATAGCTATAATAAAGTAGTGAGTCAAATTCAAATTTTATAACATTTTTACAAATACACAGGTTTATAAAAAATATTTTCAAATTTTGACGATAATATACATGCTTTTTATTGGATTTCGATTTTCTAATTTTAGCATGTTCCTTAATTTTCTTTCATATCTTCATAGATTTCATTCATTACTCTGAGCATTCTCAAACTTTTAAAAAAAACCATTTATTAATCACAATCCATCGGTCGCATCGTGTATAACTTGCAGTTTGTCTAAAAGATCTTCGTTGGATTGTAAGATTTGACTTTTTCCTGAGCCATCGTCATTTTGACTGGATTCGTTAGTCTCATTTAGATTTTCATATGATTCCGTATTATCATCTACTTCCATTTTTTCTTCCGATTCTTGGTCATCTTTTACCTCTTCAGCCCTAGTTAGGGTCACGCTCGCCCCTTCTGGAAGGAGTGCCGCCAATGTTTCGGGGTCTTGGGGAATCGTCCCTGCGTGCACGGGAGCTATTCCAGTCACCACGTGGCCGCTGATGTTGGCCTGGACAGGGATTGGTATGTCGCCTAAATCGATGTGCGTGCCATTTCCGCGTGCGTTGTAAAATGTCAGGTCTACTTTCTCCTGGCTGCAAATTAAACCAGAAAATTTAATTAAATTTAATTTATACATAAACTAGCTGTAAGTGGAATTCTGCCTTAAGGCAGTTAAGGCATCGTGCCTTAAGGCAAATTGCTAGAACTTCCCGTACCGCAATTCAAAATTCGAGTAAATAAAAATAATCAATAATAATCAATAAAAGTTGATCAATGATTTGAAACATTTAATAAAATTTCGAACCATATTAAATCATTCTATCTCAAATCATTTATTTTGAAATATTTTTGAAATTCTGAACTCTTTTTCAAAGCAATCGTACTGCTTCAACTGCATAGAGACAAAATGTCAAAGCGCGTAAGCGCCGCGTCGCCGTCTACCAGATAAACATTGGTACGGAACCCATAGGAATGTAAACAAAATGTATACTTATTGTTGAAATCTCTATAAAATATCTGGTAATTTGATGTGCATATGTCTAATGATCATTTTTGACCGCCAAATGTCATTTTTTTTACTTTCTTCATTAGATCTCTGAAACTGCTAGGCCTGCCTTCATGAAAATTTGATCAATTCTTCATCTTGTCAATACAAGTAAAATGTTTTTTGAATTAATCAAATCGGACGCTCCGTTCTCTTAAAAACTGAGTTACCGTTTTTGGCACTTTTTGCCCCATATCTTTGGAACGGCTAGACCTGACTTCACCAAAAATCAATCAGCACGTCTCCTTATCAATACGAATCGAATGTTTTTTGAATTATTCAAATCGCTTCATCCGTGTTCCCGAAATCGTCGACAAAATTTGTATCCGCACACACACACATACACGCACATACACACACACATACACACACACACACACAAATACATCCATTTTTTCTAAGGTATGCCAAAATGTTCAGAAACCTCTGAAACGTAAAGATATATAAAAATTTTCATTTTCGATTTTTTTGCGATTACTATAACTTGCCCTACGGGAAGTTACTTATAGCGTTAAAAGGTAACAAAATACAGTTCTTAAAATTTATATTAGTCCAGTCATTTAAGCTTAAATTAGGTAAGAATCTCGGAATTCGTGATACCCAGCTGTAAGTCTGTAAATACTTGTATATTGACACCTGAAAGTTGTCTCAAAACCTACATATGGTAAGGTGTACGCAATATATGTAGGTTTTGAGACAACTTTTGGGTGTCAATATACAAGTATTTACAGACTTATAGCTGGGTATCTCGAATTCCGAGGTGAACTTACTATAATGACTGGACTTTATCTTAATCGAATATTTATGATGGGTTTTAGAAGAGAATTTAAATTTGTAAAATTCAGTATATTATAGTTAATCTGAAATGAAAATGATAACGATTATTCAATTATAATAATAATCATCGGCTAAACTAGATTTTTTTTAAAACAATTATGGATTCAAGTTTACTTATGACTAATAAGTAGATTAGCCAATTATTTTGACTCTTGATAAATTTAATATAACAAATTGTTCTGCCAACAAGTAGCTAATGTGATCGTCGTGTTTTGCTATAGAATTCTTTTGCATATCTACTCTTTTTATTTTGACAATTTACACACATATTTTTTAGTTACAATATGTCACACTTAGGACATTCAGTATTGTTTGACTTTTATTATATGGATCTTGAATGGATGGCAACCCAGTAGTTGTCCAATCCAAGAGGCGATTTTTAATTAAGACTATATTTGAGATCTCAAACCTCAGCAAATTTGACATCAAAGTTGCCTGATATCGGACATTGAATATCTACACTTAATCATAACAATTTATATACATTAATATTACTGATATCTTACATGAACTAATAAATTTATATTATACTATAGTAACATGATAAAATTAAATTTTATAAGAACTATTATTATTTATTTATTTACGTGTAGTCCCGCTTTCCGTGGAGTTGTCATCATCTCATCCGAGTCAGCCAAAACTGCTACTTCATAAACTATTGTTTTATCACATACCTACAAAACAGTGATTGATTTTAATTATTGTTTTTATTTAAATATTTATTTAGTTTGCAAATTATGAAGCAGTAAGTTCAATGAATTATTATTCATCAAACTTCATTAATCAATTCAATGCTAAAAAATGCTACCATTTAAGAAGACATTTACAGTTCCATGAAATTTATTAAGTATATTTGCAATTTATAAATAATAATTGCTCGTAAATAATTTTAGCTGATAAAGTACATACTGATGCATCTAACCAAGTCCTTCGTTTTACTAAAATTTTAATATAAATTTTGAATCAGAACGTTATTTTTTATCTAAATTTCAGATCGATCTCTCAATAAGGTGGACCCAGTTGATTCATGGTTCTGCAGTTCATTAATTTATTCACAATCATTTGGCTTCATTATTATAAATATTTCACATTTTTTTAATAAATCCAGTATTGTAATCCAAAACTTACAAATCTTTTTTGGTTCCATTTATGTTATTAACTTCTACGATTTGGGTACTATTTTCCTCAGCATCGTCGTTGAAATATCCCGATAGATCAAAAGGCGCAGATCGGGAAAATGGCATCAAAAGTAATACACATATAAAATTGAACAGAATCATTTCGTGTAATTCACTATAATTATAATTTCGGCACAATATTAAAATATTTAAGCATTCGAAAAATAACGAACAAAAATTAAGTTTCTCGCGCTGTTGATTTGTATCTGTCAGAACTGAAGTGATATGTTAACTAAGATCGTGCTCGGGTTATATATTGGAAACCTTGAATATTGTGATTTCTCACTTACTAATTAATGGTTCACAGTTTTCACACGATATTGCAAATTAATCTTCTACGCTTTGCAATGACATTATAATAAATTCTTTTCCAAATATTTTACATTCAGACGCCGTCGTACTTTAGATGATCAAAATTTATCATCTTGTTTTTGATATTGCCTAAAGTTATTTTGCCTTAAGGCAACTTAACCAATCCAAATTGAGATGTTATTTGAATAAAAAGTTAATTCTTTAGTATCTGTATCAGATTAGTATAGAGTTTGAATCACGTTAGATTTACGGAATGAAGTTATAATCTTTAGATTTAACCAGTCCCTGTTCGAATCAAGTTAGAATCCTGTTAGGATCAAATCGGAATCTTATTACACCAATTAGATTCTAGTCGGAATCAGTTCAGAACCTAGTTAGAATATGCTTAGAACCAAGTTCGAATCTAATTAGAAACAAGGTGAAATCAATTTGATTCAAGTTAAAATTTTCCAAATCGTATTACAGATTTTTTACACAACTAGAGAAGTTTTATAGACTACTCCTTAGGTTAGTTAATAACCAAATTATATTTGAAATTGTCATCTGAAAAAGCAAATGCAAATATTCAAAAGAATATTCAAAATATTTTATATTATACTTAGATATATTTTTTACCCTATAGTTCTATTCACATTATTAATATCATAATGATATCAAAGATCTAAAAAAATATAAATGGTCAAAGTTGCACATTTTTTTATATGCTCCAAATTACAAATTTAAAAAATAATTTATTTATTATGAATATGAGAAGCTCCAACAACTAACTTTAAACCAAAATGAGGCAATTATAATTATAATATAATTATATAACTATAGTAATCTCGTTTTAAGTATACTATAGGAGAAAGTCAATAGTAACCAAATTTAATATGAAAATTCAATTTTACACGGCAACAAGGCCGAGCCATACATTTTGTTTTACAAATATCTGAACTGACAACAAGTGAAACCTTCCGAAATAAGTTAATTGTCTTAATTTGTTATTTGTTCGCAATAAACACGAACTTTGAAACTATATTACGGAACAAATCAATAAGATTTGTAGCGAATCTAATCTTCGTTTAATTTGATACCCTCATCAATAAATAAAGACCAGTAATTGATAAAAAAAATAAATATCAATTAGCATCAGGTCCAATCGAATTTTAAAAGAAACATTATTGCGATACTTGTTCAGAAGTAATAGCAAATATTATCAAAAATTTGGATTTGTTTTTAGTTTAGATAAGGTGCGCTTGAAATATCCAGATTGTTTATATTATTTTCTTTAAACTTTTGGTTTATTTGCGCCCACAAAATTTGTTTTTGGTTACATTTGTTGCTTATATATATATATATATATATATATATATATATATATAATATTTAATTGTATATATTAATATATTTTCATATGTTTCTACATGATTCATGGTCGCTTAATTTGCTCATAATTAGTTCTTTCAATAGCGCTAATTTGAAAAAATGAGCTTGAGCATTGATTCTAAAAATGGTATAAAATAATTATAATAGGAAATATTTATATATATTTATACAATGAAGATATATTTTTATATATTTTAATTGTAGTTAAAGTAACTTCAGCAATGTTGTCTTAAGACATTGATAATTATCAATTGCCCCACGGGGTTTATTAGCTAATTATTAAATTATTATAAACTGTTACAAAAAACAAATTACATTTTTTTGTTTCCTATCTGCTATTTTACCTTAGATTAATCAACAATATAGAATTATAAAAATATATTTTAGTGATTTGTATAATTATTATAGATAATTATAATATATTTTTATTAATTTATTATATATATTTATATATTATGATATTATTTTTTTCGGACAATAAACCACCTATTATCAAAAAATTATTTATTTAATATTTTTGTTTTAAATATTTTCTGAATATGGGATGTCTCCTTCTTTGGGATTTTTCAATGAATGGAGACTCGACTATATCCGGAACGAATAGATTTTAAAATAAACTTTTGAGAAAATCATGATTTAATTGATGTTAAGTGCATATTTAGACTAGATACTTTGTAATATTTTACAAATCTACAGAAAAGCAATTAAGTATATTTATTCTCTTAAAACACTATTTTATATACGCCCGGCATAGTCATTTCCAACTAAACTAAAATTGCATTTACAACATTTAACGATGGTACCATCTAACCATTTGTATTTTTACTTATACTACGTTTATGTATGTATATACGTGTGTATGTATATACATATTTATATATTTTGCCATGTGCACTATACTAACAATTTTATTTATATTATTTTTTAAAGCACATGAAGGACTGTTATCCGCGAAAAGTTTATGTATGGTATTGATAAAGCCATAATTTGAGAATTGGGATAAAACTCTATAAAATATATATATAAATTTATGGAAATACAAATTTTGAATGAAGTAATTGTAAAATATATATAATACTATAATTTAAGGCACTTCTATATATTATATATGTATTTTTTCATCAATTGACTTCTTCTAAACGCATAGGCCGGTTTAATGGAGTTCTTCGTGTGAGGATAAAGTTGAAATGCTAAAAATAATCCCTGTATTTATTATTCTTGAAAATTGAAACTAACAATGTGGAGTTCATATGCAGAGATATATTTATACCAAAAATATATTTTGTTTCAGGAAAGATAATAAGACGATCAGACCCATATATCTACGAACAGACCAATATGAATATATTATGTTCTGTTCTAATATTGTCAAAGGATCAGACTTTATTTTGAAATATGAATGATAGACTTCCCTAAAATTCAATGTACATTTTTGGATAATTGTCATTATTTGAATTTTTTTGTGA